GGGGGAAGGGGGGGGGGGGGACCTGGGGGTGCCCGGCTTTTGTGAAATGGCCGTGAGGGTGGTGGCGATTTGTGTGTGCCTTGCGCTAAATCTTGGGAATGCCCCAGGAAATGCCAGGGTGGAAAATCACCATTTTCCCCTCCCCGAGCCGCTTCTCTTTCTCCCGGGGGCACCTGGAGCCGAATTTGATGCCCGCCCGTCGCGCGAACTTGAACTTGCGTCTTTATGATCTGCGTTCGGGTAATGGTCTCAGGGGTGCGATGCACATACTTGTATTAGGTGGAAGCATGCATAATACCTTGCCAACATCGCTCTATCTTTTATCTACACTCCCCCTTCCCATTAAAGAACAGCAATTTATTTGTTTTTTTAAGTATTTTAAAACTGATTTTTAGAGAGTAACATCGATGTGAGAGGGAAACATGAATGGGCTGTCTCCTGCACGCCCCCTGCCGGGGACCGACCGAGCCTGCAACCCGGCTGACCGGGAATTGAACTGGCAACCTTTGCAGCGGTTCTCAACCTGTGGGTCGCGACCCCTTTGGCGGTCGAACGACCTTTTCACAGGGGTCGCCTAAGACCATCCTGCATATCAGATATTTACATGACGATTCATCACAGTAGCAACATTACAGTTATGAAGTAGCAACGAAAATAATTTTATGGTTGGGTCACAACATGAGGAACTGTATTTAAAGGGCCAGAGGTTGATAACCACTGCTTTAGGGGCTCAGGACAACGCCCAACCAACTGAGCCACACTGGCCAGGGCAAGAACCCCAATTTAAAATAGCTCACCACGCCCTAGCCGGTTTGGCTCAGTGGACAGAGCGCCGGCCCGCGGACTGAAGGGTCCCAGGTTCGATTCTCGCTCAAGGGCACATGCCCGGGTTGCGTGCTGGATCCCCAGTGGGGGGCGTGCAGGAGGCAGCCGATCCATGATTCTCTCTCACCATGGATGTTTCTCTCTCTTTCCCTCTCCCTTCCTCTCTGAAATCAGTGAAAGTATATATTTCAAAAAGATGCATCATAATAAGATAAATCTTTAAAAACATAAAAGACAAGAATCCACCAAATAGTGGCATCTTGGTATCCAGCCATCACTAAATTGGCAAAATCCTGTAGTAGAGCGGGCGCCTGAGGCGGGCCATCCCG